CATTAAACCTTGTTACTGTAGGAGAAACAACAATAATTTCCTTTTCCTACATGCAGCATCCATGAGCTTTTTTCTCCTCTCTAATCTTTTGTTCTCTATGTCTCACCGGTTTTGTCCGAGTTGCAGAGCAGCGTTTCTTTCTCAGCCCTCTGTCCTGGACTCGGCCCGTGCTTCATCCATGTTGTTATGGTGAACTGGTCGGTTAGATTCTGCGGGACGACCCAGTCTGGGATCTTAGCAGCTTGACGACCATCAAACCGGTATGTGAGGTCACTATCCCGACCGCTTTCCGTCACGAGAGTCGCCGTCCAATTAAAAATGCCGCTGGGGGCCGGAAGAAGATCTGTGCTGCCTGATGAAGCTCCTGGTGTGTGATCAGTGAGTTCAGAGATGAAATCATCATTGAGACACAGATCACAGGCGAAAGTCTCTGATTGGTTAAATGAGTCTTGTTTGTCTATTAATGTAAGCAAAACAGTTTGCATGTATTTTTACTGTACGAAAACAGAACTCAGTGAATCCAGACATCATATTTAAAGGTGAAGCAAACAAATCTGTGACACATTTTAAATATTTAGGAATAATAATAGACCAACACCTGTCTTTTTAAGAAGGGTTAAAAATAATGTTACATTTAATTTAAATAGTTTTAAAAACATCAGGCACCAGCTTTCTCAATCAGCGGCACTACTTTTTTGTACATACTTTGATTCTCCCTCACTTGTCGTATTGTATAACAACTTGGTCACAGGCAGGTGCAACTACACTTAAGCCTGTGTACTCCCTTCATAAACAAATTATGAACGTGCTAGACAAAAAACCAAGGGACTATCATCATTGTACTATCTTGAAAAGGTAACATTTTTAGAATTTTAATAATTTTGTATTTTATACTGATGTATGCCTGTACAAAATTATTCATAATCTTGCTCCCCCTCCTCTTAAAGGGATAGTTCACTTTGAAATGAATTTTTGAAATGTTTTAGCTTACCTCAAGGGCATCCAAGATGTAGGTGTCTTTGTGTCCACAGTAATTTCAATTTTGATATTTTTAGGTCAAACCGTTCTTGTCTGTCAGTCATATAATGCAGGTCTATGGTCACCACCTCAAAGAGCATGCACAGAGAAGTCCAAATTAAACATGATTTAATGACTCGTAAATGTAAGTACACATTGATGGCCTAAGACACGAAACGAGCGGTTTGTGTGAGAAAACGAACAGTATTTATATCGTTTTTTACCTATTGTAAACACAGCCACGTCCAAGTGATCTGAGGTCGCCGGCGCTTCGGTCTTTTCCGGAAAGCACCGGAAGTGAAACCTCGTGCGTGTACGTCACTCATACAATTGTTTTATTTTTATTTTTTTGGAATTCTTTTCTTTTACGACGGTTTAAACATCCCGGATAAGCGCAAATTAGTACCCTTTTAATTAGCCGTCTTACCTACAATCTCTGCTCTGTGTAAACAATGAGTGACGTACACACGCGAGAGATCACTTCCGGCGCTTTCCGGAAAAGACCGAAGCGCCGGCGACCTCAGATCACTTGGACGTGGCTGTGTTTACAATAGGTAAAAAACGATATAAATACTGTTCGTTTTCTCACACAAACCGCTCGTTTCGTGTCTTAGGCCATCAATGTGTACTTACATTTACGAGTCATTAAATCATGTTTAATTTGGACTTCTCTGTGCATGCTCTTTGAGGTGGTGACCATAGACCTGCATTATATGACTGACAGACAAGAACGGTTTGACCTAAAAATATCAAAATTGAAAATACTGTGGACACAAAGACACCTACATCTTGGATGCCCTTGAGGTAACCTAAAACATTTCAAAAATTAATTTCAAAGTGAACTATCCCTTTAAGGGATGCCTGGCCCATAACGGAAGTGCCGGTAGGACTAGAGCATCTGCTAGGGGAGATTTGGTACCGCAGTATAGAAAAACAGCCTTTGGCCAAAAAGCTTTTCAGTTAGAGTTGTGGGGATATGAAATTCCTTACCCATAAACATCCGAAGCATTGATAGCTTCACAATTTTTAAAAACAAGCTTAAGTACGGCTACTATCAGAACAAATCTGCAAACACTAATGACTGTGTTGTAAAATGATCTGTTTTTATATACTGATTTTGTAAATCTTACATGGACATATGTATTGTGATGGTTTATGTGGTGTATATGTAATATTGTATGTTATTTTATTTGTGTACCTGCCCAGGGACAGCAGATGTAAATTAGCTTTTAGCTAACTCTGGTGTAATTACTTTTAATTGTGCATTGTCCCTGTAAAAATAAACAATAAAGTAAAGTGTGGAAGTTTAAATCTGTAATTTGACAAGTCCCTTTTACATGACTCGTGCTGACTTTGACATCCAAATGAAAAGTCTGACAGATTTTGATATTCGTACAGAATTCCATAATTAATAGGGTAATCTTTCTCTATTACAGCAAAACGAAAATTGAACATACACACTGTAAAAAAAAGTTGCTGCCTTAAATTTTTAAGTGCAATCATCTTAGATGTTTAAGTCATTTCAACTTAAATTACATTAAACTGACTTTAAAAAATGAGATGAATCTTGTATTACAATTTTTTTTAAATGTCTTACCTTATTTTGATAAGTTAAAGCAATGTGAAAACATGTTGTCATAACAACAATCTATCCATCCATCCATCTGTCATCCATCTGTATATTTATCTATCTATCCATCCATCCATCCTTTTATTTAATTTATATATACCGGTATATTAGTCATTTTAGGAGTAGAAATCTTAAGATGACTTTATGTTAACTTTTGCTTTGTGTAGGATATCGTTACCATACCATTAATTTGAACATAATTTATGACACCATTAATTTGTTAATTAATGAACCCCCTAGACTTTAACCCAGTGGACGCTGACATGAGTCGTGTGAAAATGACCGTTAGTCTTCTTGAGGATCTGTGATATGAACTCAATATCTGTGTTTTACAGCTAAATTTGTAGTTTCTCAATACAATCCCTCTAATATGGATGAAGTCTTGGAAGAAATTACACTGATAATGATCCTGTACTGAGACACATACCTATTCTAGGACAAGGGTGGATGTTTTGTCTGACTAGTTTAGCCCTCGGGCACATTTTGTAATTAAACCGGCCCAAGAGAAATGAGGAAACGTGCAATGGAATAAATAGCTGTTAATCATACCGCAGAGCTTCTGTGAGGATCTCTCAGAGTACGACTGTCTGTCACAGCCTCCTCCATCACCACTGCTTTCCAGGTCCACTGTGGTCCTAATCCAGGACACAGATCCCTCACATGTCTCCAGGTGCAGCTTGGGAAATAACAGCTTACTGCCAGTTCCTGGTTCATAGTCGACAAGCTGGTTCCAGCCTGGAAAGAAAGAACGTTGGGAAATGCTTTGATAAGCAGCTTAAGTAACAGAAAGAGCGATGGCAGGAAAACATTACAGTTAACATCACTGAGCTGGAAAATGAAGAGATATAGAGGTCACAGTGTTTCCCAGACTTCAACACGATTAACAACTCAATTTTTCCTAAACATGTCTGAGACATAACCTGCATTTTAAATACCACTCAAAGAGAATACAACCTGCTGTTGTGTGCATTAGTCAAAACATTCAGAAAAGAAGTTAAAACTTAGTGACACAAATACTCCGGCGGTATCATGATATAGGGATGGTGTCAGATGGTAATTTCTTAAGCCATTAAGATTACCATTGTATATAGTGTCCAAAAAACCGTGCTACTGTTTTGTACTTCTTTGCATTGCCAGCTAAATCATAATAGACAACTGTGTTAAAGTCAAACAAGCGCTGTTCATAATCCATTTTACTTCTGTAATCTGATGTATTTTAGTATATTCAACAAGAAAAAAGGCCTAATTTAACAAATTTTATTGTGTCCAAGTTCACTTAAATAGGTCAAATTGAAATTTACTTAATTCATTTTTGTTGCGACTGCATGAATCATTTTTGTTGCATGCACTGTGTTGGATTTTTAGTTCCCAGCATTGTTTTGCATAGGACTGATTTGTTAGAGTAAATGTTGAAATTAAGTGTTAATTCTTGAAAGGGAAAGGCCTATTTGTGTTTAATGTTCTATTATGTTGGACATTTAAAATATACACTACCGTTCAAAAGTTTGGGGTCAGTGAGAATTTTATTTTTATTTTTTGGAGGAAAGAAATCAACACTTTTATTTATCAAGGAATAATTAATTTGATCGAAAGTGACAGTAAAGACATTTATAATGTTACAAAAGATTCTAACCCTAACCCTATTCATCAAAGAATCCAAAAAAAAAAAAAAAAAAAACTGTACAACTGACAGACCAACAACTGTTTCAACATTGATAATAATAATAAATGTTTCTTGAGCATCAAATCCTCATATTATACTGATTTGTGAAGGATCATTTGACACTGAAGACACTGACACTGGTGATGCTGAAAATTCAGCTTTGATCACAGGAATAAATTACACTTTACTATATATTCACACAGAAAACAGCTGATTTACACTGGAATAATATTTAATACTATAACTGATTTTTGTTGTATTTTTAATCAAATAAGCGCAGCCATGGTTAGCAGAAGAGAATTCTTTTAAAAGTATTTAAAATCGTACCGAACCCAAACTTTTGAACGGTAGTGTATATTTTTTGTGGTTACCATTGTGTGGAAGAGCTTGTGGTTAGGTTGTAGGATGGTTAAATCATAACTATGGCGTTTGTTGCTTCGTTCAATAAACACAGCTTTGCTAATGTCAGAGCAGTGACAAACAAAAAATGATTTTTTTTATTAAGGTAAATCAAATTCATATAGGCACTTGCCTTGAAAATGTTAGTAAAATCAAAAGATTTTACAAAAGAATCAAATTTATTCACTTTAATTTTAAGTAACTAATTTCAGACATTTACCTTTAAAAAATTGCAAAAACTTAAGTAAACTTACTTTATTACGTAATATACACCGTGTATATATATAAATTAAAGTGTATATAAAGTAATAACTAATATAAAGTCTGATCACTAAGTAACAGCACACATCTTGATTTGAGGAATCATTCATGTCTAAAGCACAAATATGACAAGTAAAAAGGTTAATGTGATTGAATAAGGCCCTATGTTTGTTTTTAATGAAGAAGAATAGTATAATTCGTATTTAAAATATATTTGAGGTTTGTTACCCAGAGCTCTTGTTGTGTTTGGCGAGATATTACATTGTATTCAGGCTGTATTGTGTTTAATGAATTCTATAGCCAGTGGTTATTTAACATGATGTTATGGGTGAAATATTAAAACGGCGGACAGTATTAAATGGATTATGTAAACATGTATTCACAAACAGACCACACAAAATTTTAGCTCACACTTTGAACTGTTGGGTTAGAGAATATGGAGCTGAAAATGATTGTTTTTATGCTTGGAGTGAGCCTAAAGGTAATGATAAAATGCTGTGTGTAGACGGTGCATGTCCACCCCTGCTGAATTATTTACCCTTGCTTATGAGACACAACGGGGAGCTGTTTACTTCTCTTTCTCCTTCATGCTTTTATGTCAGATGTGAAAAAATGGCCTTTACTCAAGTTGTCATCATCCAGTGGGCTGGAAAGAAGTGGCCTGAAGCTTCGACCGAATGTGAGTGTGTGTCTGTGTGTGTGTGTGTTCAGTGTCTCCAAACACACCTGAGGGACAATCACATCAGAGACGCATCAAAGTGCATTCTGGGAGACACAGTCCAGACCAAAGTTTACTTGACTTTATCCGTTGGGAATTGATTGGATGGTGAAAAAGGCAGTTGAAGTGGAGGGGAAAAAAGAGGGTTTGATTATGTCAGCTGACAAAAAAAGTTGTTTCAGTGGGGAAAGCAAGTTATTGCATTGGTTCAAAGAAACTTTTTTGCCTTTGGGAACAACATGCGAAGATAAAAGTGCACAATAAGACCAGGGACATGTATTAAAACGATGAAATATCTGTTCTTATTTACTCACCCTCATGTTGTTCCAACGCAGCATGATATTTTAAAGAACGTTGACTTTCATTGAATAGAAGAAAAACAAGTTTTCCACAAAAGAAAGAAAGTCATAATTTTGGAATGAAATGAGGTTGAGTAAATGATGAACTATCCCTTTAAAGGAAAACTCCGGCGCAAAATGAACCTTTGGTCTAATAAAACATTGGTACCTAGTCAACCGTTCTCTGAGATTTGTTTTCATGATAATCTAATGTAAAGAGTTTTATCTCTAAAAACTGTTTAGCGTATAACACTAGTAATGGGGGCATTTAATAAGTAAAAAGAAATCGCTTCGTGTATCGCTTCGTGTACTACTCAAACCACGAACGACGTGCTAAGTGAGCTGAACTGTATGAAGTTCAGTGAACTTCTGAACTGTATGAATGGCGTTCGTGGTTTGACTAGTCGAGACTGTTTTCCAAAGATGGCTCCTGTCTGTATACACGAAGTGGACTGTCTTTATAAAATATCTTCTTATTAAACGGTCTGTACACTTACAAAGTTCTCAATGCTTCGTTTTGCATGTAGGGACCCTCATTATGTTACTGTGTTAGTGTGGGGCTATTTTGAGCCTTGTTAGTGGTATTAACTAGCGATTTCTTTTTACTTATTATATGCCCCCATTACTAGTGTTATACGCTAAACAGTTTTTAGAGATAAAACTCTTTACATTCGATTATCATGAAAACAAATCTCAGAGAACGGTTGACTAGGTACCAATGTTTTATTAGACCAAAGGTTCATTTTGCGCCGGAGTTCTCCTTTAAGCTTATAAATAGGTTCAATGTTGACTTGTAAGAGGTTCTATTTTCATATCCATATTCACAGTTTTCATTAAATCTGAGGTTGTTTTCACAGTTTGATTGTTTGATATGATCTAGAATTTGATTCTTCATAATTTTGTCCTCATAGCAGGTCTATTTTCACATTGTATTATGTGTCTCAAAACCACAGTATGTTGATCAGCGAGTTTTACTTTCCAATTTAAGTAGCAATGGCTGTTTTACCACTACAGGAAACGACTCATACGGAGAAGATACCAAAAATGGAAAGCGATTTTAAACATAATTGTATGCTTTTGTTTAATTTTACTTCTCAACATGCACAGAATTAAAGGCGTCTGTCTGCTCGTGTCAGTGTAAAGACTGCGAGAGAATGCAAGCTGCTTAGCGAAGGCAATTTCTGCAGAGACAAGCAGCAATGAGAAATGCATTATACAATATTAGGCAAAATACATGATACTGATAGGAGTTGACTTCCATGAACTAGGTCAGATTGCTTTTATACTAAAGCTTATTGGAGTTTGCATGAACCCTATACGAATGAACCCAATGCAAACATCAAACTAACTTGTTTTGCATTAAAGGGGTCATGAAATGAGAAATCAAATTTTCCTTGAGGTTTTGACAAATAAGAGGTCATCACATTATAAGAATATCCTGAAAGTTTCAGAACTGAAAACGTTCTTATTAGTCCAAAATCAGCTTTTATTGTTACCAGGCCCAGCGAACAACTCATTCTGGAATGTGTCTCTCTTTATGACGTAATAAGGTAGTGAAAGACCGCCTAGGGTAGTAGTGAAAGACCAAAGATCATCAACTTTGGCCCCGCCCACTGGCGTTAATGAGATGAGGAAGAGAGAAGAGCACAGGGTTACTCACTAGACTAAAATAACATTACCTTCCAAATCGGATCCTAATGCTGGGAATGTGGTTGTTTAATTTCAACAGTGTGAATGTCTCAGTTGAGCATTATTTACTTGTATTCGGTACATTTCACTGGATTCTTTGGTAAATCAGTCCGCAAACTCGGCGCAGGCTTTGCAGACTTTTACCATATGGACGTGACAGTATTATTGCCACAACATGTAAGTAACCCTGGTCATTCTAATGCCTGATCTGTGACCAGACATTTCTGATGTAATGATTTATACATTCAGATGTTCTTTGTCCTGTCAGTAAATCAAACCAGTGACTAAACGGTCAACTTCACATTATTTCTGTGTAAATAATCTGTTATTGATTGAATTATATATAGAAAGCGATCAAAGAACACTCCGTTTACAATAGCTGTTGCTGTCAATCAACACTTGCGCCAAAGCTCCCGTAATAATCAACGAATCTCTCATTTACATTGCGTTTGCACTGTTAGATATGAAGAAAGCATTCGTTAGTGTGCAAAAATCGAGTTGCAATGACGAGATCGCTGCATACATGTCTGTGATCGGCTATGCTCAACACTGCAACCTTTCATGCAACGATTATTGTATAATTTCAATTTCAATTTCAATATAATGCCATAGATCTAATTGCATTGCTATAATTATCACTTTCCACGAGTAGTTAACATTAAGAGCAGTAATAGTAGAAACGTGCAAAAAGTTTTCGAGATAGTTCCACATGTAATTCTAGCTATTTATGCAACGCTGTTGGCCAATCACAGCAGTGGGCGGTTACACTTAAGTCTCAGCAGACACGCCCCTTCAAACAGAGGCTAAAATCAGGGTAGGAAAATGCCTTTTATTTCTAAATTATGACAATTTTTTAAATAAAAATCATACTAACATTATAAGTGCAACCCAGGAAACATTATGAAACAATAAAACAATGCAGTACATGACCCCTTTAATAATTACAGCCATAATCAATAAAAATGTCCTAAGAAGAAACAAAAATGCAATTGAAATTCAACAAAATTCGGTCAATGCTAATAGTGAAACATTAACTGCATCAGGCAAACGGCGTATGTTTTGTGAAATTAGTTTATAAAACCAGCCTAATTTACATAAAAAGTGTTTGCATTGAAAATAATTGCAATTACTTAAAGAGGCAATTATGCCCTTTTACAAAGTCTTGATTTTGTTTTTGGGCTCTACTAGAATATGTTTTCATTCTTGAATGTTCAAAAAACACCTTATTTTCCCCATATTCTCCATTGTTGCAGCTCCTCTCTTCTCTGTCTGTCAGTAACGCTCTGTTTAGTTCATGTCTCTATGAACCCCCTCATTCTGAAAAGCGCAATGTGCTCTGATTGGTCGGCTGGATCAGTATATTGTGATTGGTCAAGCGCTTCGAGTGTGTTTCACAAATGTCACGCCCCTTACCATAACTGCGAGTTTCAACACACTACTAACTAACTCAACCAGGCTCCGCCCCTTTATTTTTGCATATGCATTGGGTTGGAATTATTTAAATGAGGAATATTTTGACGTGTTCGTTCCCATAAGAAACTCAAGACTACTATGGAGGCGTTTCAGGGAGTTCAGGAACAGTGACACTGATACAGAGAATAACTCCCAAGTGTCTTTGTGCTTTGTAACTTTTCAGACCTTTTTCATGCTCAAACAGCAACACTAAAGAAAGATGAACATGTAAAAAAGCATAATTGGTCTTCTTTAATTTAAATGCGGTTTACAAGGATGAGGACATATTTGTGCTAAAATAAAGTTTAATTGGATGCATAGCCTTGAACATCAACAAAATAATAAATGGGGAAGCATATTTTCTTCTCATTTAAATGTTGCTTTATGTCATTTGTTATTTTATTTAGTCTTTCCCCGCTGTCAGCGATCCAGTTGAGCGCTGCTGCGTTAGACACAAAGCACGTCTAGCTGTAGTAAAAAAGATACCAGGAGCTTTAAAAGAACCACATAATGCATCAGCCTGGCCATCATATGAAAGTGTGTGTGTGTTAATTCTGATGTAAGCCTCCTGCTGCAATTGAAAGCATAAAAGAAAGCACAAACCTACTAGAAAAAGACGGAGAGAGAGAGAGAGAGAGAGAGACGGGAGGAGGTCAACACTATATTGAGTTTAAAAGCAAACAAAAATAGCTTCAAGGGAAAAGAAAGAGATGGACAGAAAGTCACAGGAAATTTAAAGCGTTTGTGGGTGTGTGTAATTGAGTCAGCTGAATCTGGATTGCTGTCATGCACGGATCACAGGAAACGTCTGGATTTACATTCTCAGAACTGTATTTTCTGTGTTTACCCCTCAGTTGTATACTAAATTCAATGGATTCTTTGTGCATTTGAGTGTTGAATATGCATCTCATTCCCAGATTGACTTAAGTGTGAATTTAATTATTTACATTGATTTATGAAGCAAGTAAACATGCACATACACACTAGTAACAGTATGAAGCATAGTCTTACAAACTCAGACGCTCTCCTAAACTGTCCTTTTTTCTAGTAATATGAGTCTTGATACATTTCAGAGAATTTGGATGATTAATTTCAATGAACCAGTTCAACCAAATGATTCACAGATTTGAATCTGAAGGGTCTGTCTGAGTCACCAACCTCAGTTTGTTTAGCTTATTATTAAACATGCAGTTTCTGAGCACATTTATATGAAATAGGTTATATAATAATAGAGTATGACATCATTTTTAAATGTTTTTGTTAATTGAAATAAAGCTGAAATCAAATCAGATATAAATATTATTTGAAAAAAACTTTAACTTAATAAGCAAATTCAACTTACTGAAATAAAAAAAGTTGAAGTACCAAAATTAGTCTGTACAAAAAAAAAAACTGAAATTAGGGAATTAGCTTCCTCGAAAAGTCCATTACGTCTGATAACTTGTAAGTATGACTTTGTTCCCAGATGGACCACTGCATCCCGATTTCCAGAAATTGTGTAAAGCTATATTTCAAGTGCAAAATGCATCTGAGACCAAAACATATTGAAATCTTACCCTGCCATCCAGGCTTGCAGACGGGTTTCACATGTATGTGTACGACAGCGTCCTGCGCCGCTCTCTTCTGACCGCAGTCGAACGCTGTCACGCGGATTTTATAATGTGACTTTTGATCAAAGCTCAGACTCTCTGTGTTCCTGATGTTACCTGCACACAAACACAGACATTTAAATACAGAAGACAGCAAAGTGAATGCATGTGTGTGAGTGTGTGCTAACCGTTGCGGTCTATAGCGAAGGCCGTGTCGTGAGAGGTGATCTGGTAGTTGCAGATCTGGCTGTACTGTGGAGAACAGTCCTGGTCTGACGCCTGAACCTGCAGAATACTGTCAAACACTTTCCCCTCCGCCACCGAGCCGTGATACTCCAGCTGACCGAACACTGGGGGAAACTCGTTCACATCTCCCACTTGCACATGCACCGCAGCCCTGAGAGAGAGAAAGAGGCTTTTATTTTGCTTCATGTTTCGGGATGCATGATATATCGGCCCCCATATCGGTATCGGCAGATGTATGTTGATTTTTAATGTTATCGTTATCGTTAAGAAAATTTGGCCGAAATGTTAAAGCAGATAAATAATGGAATATTTCCTTCAACCGAGACATTTCAGATGCGCACTGTTCGCCATGATGGTTTTTAATTGCCTGAAATATGATGGGTTATGAAATATGATGGGTCTGTAAAATAGACTACATAAAATTATAATGAGAATGGTTGGGACATGGCTTTTAATGGTGATACTTTTGTTATTGTTATAAAAAAAATGACCTAAAAATTTGAATTTAGATTTATCGGCCAATATATCGGTTATCGGCTTTCAAGTATAAAGAATTATCGGTTATCGGTATCGGCCAAAATGTTCAAATCGTGCATCCCTATGCATGTTCTCAATTATGGTTCATTTAAGCATCAATTTCTGTCTCAGATGTTTCTATTACATGTTTGATTCTATTGCAGGATTTATTAGTGTTGAATTGGCTTCTTTTTGGTCACACTTTAGATTAGGCTCCAATTCTCACTATTAACTATGACTTTTGCCTCAATAAACTCCTAATACTGCTAAGTTTATGTATAATTTATGTTGTTGTAGAATGTAGGATGTAGAATATGATCATCATTAATATGTGCTTTATAAGTACTAATAAGCAAGTGTCATAGTAATATGCATGCTAATAAGCAACTAGTTAATATGAGAATTGGACCCTAAACTAGTGTGTTAAAAAAGTGTTATCGTTTTATAAATATATATGGCCTAGGAAAAGTGACATCTGTACCCATATTCAAATATTATTTAAAAAATGTGTTAGTAGTTGTGCTTGGATGCAGTTGTTTTATTTGTGATAAAGCAATGAAACATGCCAGATAAAACATATCAAATAAAAAATGTATCCGCCTCAATTCAGAGTAAGTTTTTTTATGCGCATTTTTAGAATTTAAGAGCATTTTGGCGCTTCCATCCAGGGTTTTTTATGCAAAATCCCAAAATGTGCATAAAATAGGTGGATGGAAACATGGCAACAAGAATGTAAAAAAAAAAAGATATCAGGACATGTCTTCTGTAGAGCAGATTTAACTTATTTCTCTAAATTTCCTTCTCCACAGATTTTTATAAACCCATTAAAATTGTGACTTTGTCAGGGTGTGTTTATCAGGAATGGAGCATTTTAATTTGTGATTTGACTGGAACGTAGCATGATGGCGCGCCACAGATTTGATGGCTGAGTTAAATGTGTATTTGTAGGGGGCCTGAAATGAAAAACAGCAACTGCAGTGCATTTAAATAACATCTTTCAGGTTGACAGTCACAATCCTTCAATAAATTTTAAATCCCAAATGGTCTCTCAAGGACTGCTGCTTTAAAGAAAAACGATTTTTGATTTTTCTTTTTAGTAGACAGTCTACTAATAATTGAATGACTACTAGTTGACATTAAGTTGCAAAGTTGCTTATAGTTAGTAGAATGCCTAAAGTGGACTATCGAAATAAAGTGTAAATGACGCATTGAGTGAAATAGTTTTCCTATCTTTGTGATACTTGTGTTTGTGATTATATTAATTTATGAGAACTGATTTATGGTCCGGATCTGAACTAATTATTGCGCTGTGTTTTAAAGGAGACACACGTCCTGAAGTCTTTTCTCAAGAGAAAACTCTCCAAAAGATCCATTCATTCTCCATCACTGTCCAGGAGAAACAGTGAGATCTCCTTTGTGATTTCACTCTCCTGCAGGTCATTATAAAGTCTTAGGGGAGAGAAAGATATTTTAAAAAAAGAAAATAAAAGTGCCTCAAGGTATCCTCACGGCCAGTTCTGACACACTTTTGCAAACTGAAAATACCAAAATAACAAGCTTACATCATTCATGTCAAAGACAGCGTAAAAAGTGAGCAATACTTTGCAAAGGGCAACAGCTTCTGACAAATGACAGGATTATAAACACCCCTGATAATCTGTTGTAATGTTAAAAACCAGAACATACGCAGACACACATTAATGCGTTAGGGATGAAATCTATAGTAAAGCAGTGTGATTTTGCAGCTTTACTGCCCTTTAGAGTCTAATATCTCACTTTAATCCTTTATCCGTGCGTGCGTGTGTGTGTGTGTGGGTGTGTGTGTAGTATATGAGATCAGAGCTGTCAGAGCCAGATAGAGTAATCCTGTCCGGATTAAAGAGATACAGAGTAATGAGGAAGGTCCCTCTCTCTACTCTTCTCTTCTCCACGATTTCCACTTTTATCATAAATCTTGTTTTTCTCTGGCTCATTCGCATATGTCTTTAGAAGTGTTATTTTGTTTCAAAGGACTCGGGTTTAGCTCACTGCATTAGCTCTATTAGAGCATCTTTATATGGATATCTGCAGGTAAATATAGCATCGGCTCAGTGTTTGTTTGCAGCTTTCAGGTCTGCAGGTAAACAGGTTCATTAGCATGCGCTCTAAAAAGCTTTTAATGCCTCAAGGTCAGTCACCTGATGATTACAGCCAGGACTAAGATGAAAAAAAAAACTTGATATTTGAGTGGCTGTTTAGTTCAGTATCCTGTACAGTTATGGTAAAAAATTATATGTATTCAGTGGATGTATTCATAGAGATGCACAGATGTATCAGCCAATTTTTGATCAATTTAAAACCATCGGCAGTTTGGCTATAGCATGAAAAAGCCATATATAACATACATATAAATAGCTTATTAATTAACTGATCCTAAAATTTGATCCTTTACCACCTCTATTTGACAACAGCTCATTTGAATCACATTCAATTACCATCACTAGTCCTATAAAAATCCATTTTGTAGTTGTATATCGTCCCCCAGGTCAACTTGGCAGTTTTTTGGAGGAGCTTGATGTGCTACTCTCATCCTTCCCAGAAGATGGTACTCCTCTTGTAATTCTTGGAGACTTCAACATCCACCTAGAAAAACCTCAGGCTGCTGATTTCCACACCCTGCTTGCATCTTTCGACCTCAAACGAGTATCTACTGTGGCTACTCACAAATCAGGTAACCAATTGGACCTCATCTACACGCGCTACTGCTCTACGGACAATACACTGGTCACTCCACTGCACACCTCAGATCACTTCCTCCTCACTCTCAACCTCAACCTGCCTCAGAACACAACACACACTCCTCCACAGGTCACCTTTCGACGAAACCTACGCTCACTTTCACCCTCTCACCTATCCTCTTTGGTCTCATCCACACTTCCTCCACCTGATCAGCTCTCAACACTTGATACTAACTGTGCAACTGATACTCTTTTCTCCACTTTAACATCCTGCTTGGACAACTTCTGTCCCCTTTCCTCCAGGCCAGCCCGCGCCACACCCTCTGCCCCCTGGTTAACTGATATTCTTCGCGAACATCGTACTAAACTCAGGGGTGCAGAGAGAAAGTGGCGCAAATCGAAAGATTCGACAGACCTGGGTCTTTATCAATCCCTTCTCTCTTCCTTCTCTGCTAATATCTCTACTGCTAAAATGGCTTACTATCACAACAAAATTTTCAATTCTTCTGACTCTCGCATGCTTTTCAAAACCTTCTCCTCTCTTCTTAACCCTCCTCCTCCTCCTCCTTCATCAACCCTAACAGCTGACGATTTTGCCACATTCTTCATAGAAAAAACAACCACCATCAGCGGCCAATTTACCAATCCACAAACTGACACACACATTTTACCAACAAACGCACACATTCTACCCTCATTCTCTCTACTTTCAGAGGCGGAAGTCTCTAAACTCCTCCTTTCCAATCGCCCTACTACCTGTCCGCTTGATCCTATCCCCACTAATCTACTTCAAGCCATTTCTTCCTCAGTTGTACCCACACTCACGCACATCATAAACACCTCTCTTCACACTGGTACCTTTCCCACAGCTTTTAAGCAGGCTCGAGTAACCCCACTGCTTAAGAAACCCAATCTAAATCCAGCACATCTAACAAGTTACAGACCGGTATCTCTTCTTCCATTTGTCGCGAAAACACTTGAACGAGTTGTTTTCAACCAGATCTCCTCCTTTCTTACACAGAACAACCTCTTGGACGACAATCAGTCTGGTTTCAAAAGCGGACACTCAACTGAGACTGCCCTGCTCTCAGTAATTGAAGCTCTGAGACTGGCAAGAGCAGCTTCCAAATCCTCAGTCCTCATCCTGCTGGATCTGTCTGCTGCTTTTGACACAGTTAACCACCAGATCCTCCTGTCAATCCTAAAGATGAAGGGCATCTCGGGAACTGCACTCCAATGGTTCGAGTCTTACCTCTCAGGTAGGTCCTTTAGGGTGTCGTGGAGAGGTGTGGCGTCTAAGACCCAACATCTAGCTACTGGGGTCTAGCTACTACCTCTCATTCCAGCCTGACGATCCGACGGTAGCTGCTCGTATCTCAGCCTGCCTGACAGACATCTCTGGCTGGATGAAGGACCACCACCTTCAACTAAACCTTGCGAAGACAGAGCTACTTGTGGTCCCGGCCAACCCAACACTTCATCACAACTTCTCCATTCAGCTAGGCTCGTCATCCATAACTCCATCAAGGTCAGCTAAGAACCTTGGGGTTGTAATTGATGATCAGTTGAAATTCACAGACCACATTGCTAGAACTGCCCGGTCCTGCAGATTTGCCTTGCACAACATTAGGAGGATCAGGCCCTTCCTTACAGAGCATGCCACACAACTCCTTGTCCAAGCACTTGTTTTATCCAGACTGGACTATTGTAATGCTCTCCTGGCTGGTCTTCCAGCTTGCTCTGTCAAACCTCTACAATTGATCCAGAATGCTGCAGCCAGAGTAGTCTTCAATGAGCCGAAGAGAGCACACGTCACTCCTCTCCTCACACAATTGCACTGGTTGCCAGTTGCCGCTCGCATTAAATTCAAGGCACTGACGTTTGCCTACAGAACAACCACTGGCACTGCTCCCTCTTACCTAAACTCATTACTTCAGACTTATGTGCCATCCAGAAACCTGCGCTCTGCTAGCGAATGTCGTCTTGTGGTACCATCTCAAAGAGGTACAAAATCTCTTTCTCGGACCTTTACCATGGCTGTTCCCTGTTGGTGGAATGATCTGCCTAACTCAACCAGAGCTTCTGAGTCAGTAGCCACTTTCAAGAAACTGCTGAAGACATATCTTTTTCGGCAGCACTTGATTCAGAAGAATTAACACTTTCTCTTCTCTTCTATTCTATTAAAAAAAAAAACTGCACTAAAATTAAACTGAGAGGGGTTATAGCACTTACGTATTGTTGTCCTACTGTTAGTTTAACTGCTTCTATTGTTCTCATTTGTAAGTCGCTTTGGATAAAAGCGTCTGCTAAATGAATAAATGTAAATGTAAATGTAACTGTGTGAAGAGTTGTGTAATGTCTTATAGTGGGGGAAAAGTATTTTTTTGTGTGGTTATTTTGCTTAAATAAATGGATCGGTAACGCTTTAGATTACAGCCCGGAAAGTACTGCGTAATTAAAGCAATTTTACAGCATAACCTTCGGTAATTATAGTGTAGGCCTACCTATAACGTACTTACAATATAAGTATAAGGGAACAATATTTTAAGTTTGGGGAATAAAGGGGTAACAACCAGGAGAATTAAAAAAAATATTTATACTGTATAGAACTAAGGGGAACTTATTCTACTATTATGATACAACAATCTTTCACTTGGGAGCAATTTAGCAAGAACATACACTGCGTACCTTTTTGAAATAATGGTGAACCAATACATAGGCTTTTTAAAAATTACAGGGTACATATCTATGCATTTATAAAGTAATCTTTTTAACAAAAGTGCACTGAAAACGAAAACTATTGCAACTTTTGCTTAAATATTGGGGAAAGATACTCTTGTTTCATGTAGTGGTGCTAGTTGTTACCCCCTTGTTCCATGCAGTTACAGGGTAAGTACAATAAAAATGCATACACAATCTTATATCACTGACTCGGAAACCTTTATTTATTTACAAGCACCATTTACCCTGTAACCACATGAAACCGGATATATTTCCCAGTATTTAAAAAAGTTGCAATAGTCTTAGCTTTTATTGCCTTGAAACATGTAAGCCCAAACTTAAACATCTGCACTTTTGCTATCAAAAAAAAAAAGAAAAGAAAAAAGAAAAGTATAAATGCATAGATATGTACCCTGTCATTTAAAAAAAGTCTATACAGAATGTATTGGTACACAATTATTACAAAAAGGTACACAGTGTATGTTCTCGCTAAATTGCTCCCAAATGTAAGATTGTTGTATCATAATAGTAAAATAAGTTCCCCTTAGTTCTATAATACTTACAGTATAAATATTTTTTTTAATTCGTTACCCCTTTATTCCCCAAACTTTACATATTGTTCCCTTATACTTACATGTAAGTACTTTATAGGTACACTATAATTACCTAAAGTTACTCTGTAAATTCCTCTTAATTACACAGTACTTTCCGGGCTGTAATCTAAAGCGTTACCAATGGATCAAATCCACGTTCAATGAAAATGATTTAAAGAAGCAGCAGTAAACTAGTAAACCTTAAAGGGGGGGTGAAACACACAGTTTCAGTCAATCTCATGTTAATCTTGAGTACCTATAGAGTAATATTGCATCTGTCATATCTCCAAAAAGTCTTTAGTTTTATTATATTTATAAAAGAAAGATAGGCTGTACCGAGTCTTTCCGGAAAAAGCCGAGCGGGTGGAGGCGTGCCATGTGGGCGGAGCTAACACGCCGAAAGATAGACACACACAGATTACAGATATTTGAAGCAGTTTTACTCACCGCCTGCGGTTCCAACGCAAGACCGTTATGGTTTCCGAAACTTGTGACAACCAGGAAGGAGTATTTTGAGAACAGAAATACTCAATCAAACGTACAACTTAATTTTTGAAACTTTGTCCATGTTAAGCATGGGAATCCAACTCTATAACAGTGTAAAAAACTCACTATGCATGAAATAGCATTTCACCCCCCCCCCCCCCCCCCCCCCCTTTAATACATGTGTTTTTGAACTTCGATATTTCAAAACATGATCAAAACAGTAATCTATTTTAATGACAAAAGTTCAAATAAGCGAGTGACAAATATCGTTATCGGAATTGGTCAATGTTAAAATCGGTATCCGTATCTCCCAAAAAATCCTATTGGTACATTCCTAGTAGATTTTGGGATAGCACATTAAAAATAAACTCTGGATGGAAACACCAAGATGCGCATACATTTTAAAAATGTGCATAAAAAAAGTATGCGCTTGAATTGAGGCAGATCATTTTTTATCCGATAAAAAGACATACGCATAAACTACGACGGAAACACATTTACCAAATAAATCTCTTGATGTGCAACAAAAAACAGAGGATGTGAGTGTGTTACTGGACTAAGCAGTGGATCAGTTTCACTGCACAGAATCTCAGATGTTGGTTTGATCATTCTGGAGAATGATTTGGTTTAATTCCCTCCCAGAAGCGTCTCACATGATTGCGTTCCCAAACATCAGCATCCGAACGCCAGATAGCATGACAGTGTTTATTGTGTTTCATCTGCGCGCTCTGAGACACAAGTCATTTATGGTGGAGGGAAAAAGAGCCACGGTTTCTTCCCTGATTGCACTTCCATTTTTAGCATTAATATTTTGTGCCAATTTTTGTTCTCTTGAACACATGAGCTTTATTCTCAAATGTTTTATGCGATATTCCATATTTCCGCCTACGTTAAATTTGCAACTTTGGATGGAAACATAGATGCCCGATTACTAGATTAAATATGGCTTTTTTATTGAAGATTATTGAGTCTGAACACTGACTGACTGCCAATAAAGGTTAGAACGCTACAGACCTATTAGAATTATATGAATTCATAAATGTTATATTTAATAAAATATGTTTTCATTGTTGCGCCTTTTCAATCATATAGATATACTTCTGTATAAAAGTAAATAAGTATTTAATTTTATTCAGCAAGGATGCATTGAATATCTTTATTAATAAATAAATGCTGTTCTTTTGATAATTCTATTAATCAAAGAATCCAAAAATAAATGTATCAGTTTTAAAATATGAAGCAGCACAACTGTTTTAAACATTGATAATAATAACGACCTTTTCTTCTGCAGCAAATCATCATATCAGAAAGATTTCTGAAGGATCATGTGACACTGAAGTAATGATGCTGAAAATTCAGCTTTGATTACAGGAATAAATTACATTAAAAATATATATTAACATAGTTATTTTAAATTACAATAATATTTCAAAACATTACTGTTTGTACTATTGTTGACTAAACGCAGCCTCGGTGAGCAGAAGAGACTACTTTCAAAAACTTAAATTGCCAAACCCAAACCTTTGAATGGTTGTGTATAAATATATATTTAAAAAGTTTCAACTACCCATTAGCAGGTACAGGCAACCTCCAAAAGAGGAGAAAATAAAAATCTTCAAAAGAAGAAACTGTGAGTAACAGAGAGAGGTGAGTCAAGCACGGATGAATCATTTGAGAAATAGTTCACAGTGTTGCTTTCAAAAACATTCTCTCACAAATATGAATCACACTGAGTTGGAGAACACGCATTGATTTAAACACACACTGACTTGTGTGATCTCTTCTCCCCGCGTCCCTCCGGCCCCGTGCCGCAGTCATGTGCCTGAATGATGAAGGTGAAGTCTCTGTGGCTCTCGCAGTCGACCGGTCCCCGTGCCCGCAGCTGGCCTTCTCCTGACGTGCTGTTCAGGACCACGGCCACGAACGGAGCGCTGAGACCCTGCACGTGAAAGCCACAGATTTCACCTACACACAGAGACAAGACCACAGATTAGGACTTTCATTTCATCAGCCTCTCTGTCTGTAATCTCTGGACTGTTGCTCGTTTTAATCCCACAGTGACAGCTTTAGAGAAGATCTAAAGGGGGCAAATTCTTAACTTTTGCAGCTTTTTATTGTTTTTCTACCCTTGAAATGTCAGTATAAATGGACATACACTGAAGTAAGCCTCTTGCAGAACCTGATTTCATGTTCCTAGATCATTAACATCTCTGTTGATCCTGGAACAACTTTCCAATCAGATTTGAGGGACACGTTTACAGTCAAGTTTAGGCTTACAGTCGGGGTTTGGTGCTTCTAGTGTTATTCACCTGTCATTTCCCCCATCATGTATGGGTAGTAGGGGTAGGTTTAGGGATAGGGAAATGAATAGGACAACATTTTTGGACAGGAATGCTGTTCAAAATATGTTGACCCATAAACGTGTTTAACTCACTGAGGCTGCATTTATTTAATCAAAATACAGTAAAAACATTCATATTGTTAAATATATTCAAAACACTAAACACAGTTCTCTACATTAGACAACTCACTTAAAACTAACAGCTCTTGTTTCATTTGCCACAATCATTTACTGATGACCAATGATCATGTATGAAAACACTTATACATAAACATCAGTGTTTTGAGAAAGAATGAAATTATTCTTTACCCCCTTGCATTTCTGTTTTTAGTGTAAATATGTATGTGTATATATATTTACATATGCATGTATTTTTACACATATATGTAAATAGTATACACACACACACATCAGTTGTGCATACATACTGTATATAGTGTATTTGTGCACATACTACATGTACTTGTGACACACTCCTGTAACTCCACTGCACACTAAACAAGCAAAAGACACAAAGTTACATTTTTCAAATATGTGTGTATTATTGTGTATGTGGCTAATCATTTTATGTTTGTGTGTATAGAGTTACTACACAAAAATAGCATTTTTAGAAGAATTAAAATAGTTGTGAAAGAAGTGTTTGCTTTTGCAAAGAGATGTCTGATGTTTTGCATGTTGTGTGTGTGTGTTTTGTGGTTTTGTGTGTAGAGTTTTGAGAAATGGAGCCAAAGTTTCAAAAACTGTGTGTAAGCATTTTTGAAAAACTGTATTATAAAGTTTGGGGTAAGTACAGAAAAAAATACTTTAGGATTTCTATTTAAAACATTTTGTTTGTTCTTTTGAACCTTCTATTATCTGTTTTCAACATTGATAATAAGAACCACTATTAATAATTGAGCAACAATAACTGATAATTGAGCAACAAATCAGCACGAAGACTGGAGTAATGATGCTAAAAATCCAGCTTTGCCATTACAGGAATAAATTACATTTTAAAATATATTCATATAGAAAACAGTTAGCCTATTTTAAATAATATTTCACAATATTACAGTTTTTACTGTATTTTTTTTATCAAATAAATGCTGCCTTGGTGAGGAGAAAAGATTTATTAAACATTAAACAAGTCCTCATGGTGATGTCATTTGACTTTGGCTAGTAAGAAACCACCCACAATACCCTAGCAACACCTTAGCAACCCCCGAAAGACCATATAAATGGACATCAAGATGCTCACAGCCACCCACAACACCCTAGAATTGTGCAGGCGAGTTTTACACCCTGACTTTTTGTTAAATCTAGTTATTCTTGTGAGTGTGTGTGTGTGTGTGTGTGTGTGTGTGTGTGTGTGTGTGTGTGTGTGTGTGTGTGTGTGTGTGTGTGTGTGTGTGTGTGTGTGTGTGTTGTGAGTAAAACAGCACTGCTGTCCGACACCGATAAGAGTATTCTCCATCTCTCCTCTCTTTCATCTTCAGAATAATCCCACATTCACCACGTATACAAAACAACAGAGAGAGAAAGTGCGAAAGAGTGAGATGCGGCAAAAAGCAGCAATCCCTTTGTTGAATAATATTTCTAAATCTTTCACTGGCTATCTTTGTGCATGTGCGAGTACAAAAGACTAAAAATGAATAATAGTGCATTCATGCATATGAAAAAAAGTTACTTTCAGAATGTGTTGATATTTTGTATTATTTTAGCTTCATTTTTATCAAAATGTTGTGATGCACTGATGTAGTGAGAGGGCATACTCTTGCATTTAGCCTGCGCTGTTTTTTAACGTGTTTTTATAAATGTGAATTTTGTTTCATTCTGTTTTGTTCCATCTTGCTGTTTTTAATGCATGTGTGAATGGCCCTTTCTGTGACAAATTGCTTATGCTTCTCTATTGTGTGAGTTTTGCTTTGGATAAAAGCATCTGCTAAATGCAGAAATGTAAATGTAAGTGAGGGATGTTTTCACAAAATCCAATCATAAGCTGTCAGAGGAGATGCATTAATACTAATCATAAACAGCAGTCTGTCTCGGCTGACCACTTGTGATTGTATCACCTGAGATGAATGTTAAGTACGAGTCATTTATTGCAAAATAAACCCAGATAGGGTGACTTGACCAGTCTTGTATCATGCTGAGGGGGGTTATTTTGCAATAAAGAAGGGAAACTGGACATTATCTTGCCAAATAAATAAATAAATGGACTTGAAATATTGATTTGAGTTGAAATTATTTTATTATGAGAGAAGAAAGGGACCGTGGAGGGATATGAGAGATATGAACGAAGTTTTTCAGAGAGCCGTATTCACACACAAACCTATAGAGGATGCAGCGGGTGTGTTTGGATGTAAACAGACCCCTCGATATTCCATAACTGTGATATATATATTCATGCTCTGCCAGGGTTGAATATGCTCTGATTACACATAAATATGGATATAGAGATGACCATGCACAAGTGTTTTCAAACCAAAACCGCGTTGGTTATATAGAGGAATGAAAAATCAGTATGGAGCACATGAGTTGAAGGTAGGACCACTAAAAGGACACACACACACACACACGTCACGTGATTGACATGCTCTCCAGTATTTCCAATAAGCTGTCAGCTGAACACAAAGCTCAAAGAGAGAGACGAAACCCTTGAACAAAAGAATCCCAGCTCATATCTCTTCCTCCAGTCTTCCTCAGACACTCTGTTTCTTCTCTCACTTTTTCTACCAATGAATTTCCATCAGGATATTCTTCATTCTCAGTGACTCTCATTACCTGTGCTTCTTTTCAAAACTCTGGGGTTAGTACGATGTTTTTTTTCCCCCGAAAGAAATTAATATTTTTTTCAGCAATGACACGTTCAATTAATCAAGAAATAAATGCTGTTCTTTCGATCTTTCTATTCATCAAGGAATCATTAAAAAAAGTACCACGGTTTATAGAAAATATGAAGCAGCACAACTGTTTTCAACATTGATAATGATAAAATATCTCTTGAGCATCAAATCAGCATATTATACTGATTTCTGAAGGATCATGTGACACTGAAGACTGGAGTTATGATGCTGAAAATTCAGCTTTGATTCACAGGAATAAATCACATTTTCAAAAATATTCAAATAGAGAACAGCTTTTTAAAATTGCATTAATATTTCACAATATTACTGTTTTTACTGTATTCTTGATAAATGCAGTCCACTATGCCTACAAAAACTGAATACTGAATGAATGCATGATGTTACGCAGACATTGAACACTATGAAGGCGGCGCTATTCGAACAGCTAAACTATGTCTCTCATTTACCACCATGTGTTTAATCAATGTTTACAGCCGGCTGTCGGCTGAAGAGCCACACAACAGCTGTAATTTATACTCTCTGTTACTGTCCCTTTAAGAGACGGAGCGTCGTATAGGCCTTGTGGGAGTCGTATACGTCTGCACTCGGAGTGACCCTTCACCACACACACATTACTGAATACTGTCATTACTGAAGTGAGCTGTGACACCATGAGCACGCTTTCTGTCCTTCCCTGTCACTCACTCTTTCTTTCTTTTGATTCTAACACTTATACCCTTCAGTCTTGTATAGCTTATTCTAACACTTATACCCTTCAGTCTTGTATAGCTTATTTGTAACAGTTTTATTTTTTAACTTAATGTAATTAAGCTGTTTTTCCTTACATTTCGCCTGTCACAAAAAGACCCCATTGTGGCCACCCGCTGGCAAATGTGTATTTTTAATCAGCATTGGCATTTTTTTACTCACATTTGCCACTTAAATGTTAATTAATTTCAGACACTAGTTTTTTTAAGCGGTTAAGTGATATTTCAGAGGGAATACCTAACTTCCATCTAGTCAGAATAAAGCTGGATTTATCCTCCATTATAACCATAACAGACTGTACCTTTGCTTTATTGTCCATCTCAAGTAGTTACTCTGTACTTTGAGGTAAAGTTCTTCAAAGTGTTTAAGATTAAATCATATCAAAGCATTGCTTAGCAACTACATGATGAATCTTGCATTTCTTCTAGCATTCACTGCAACCTTTGACTTCAAGAACCTCTGGCTATTTCCATCCACACATTTCTGTATAAATCTGTTACAACGCTCTGTTCAGATCACTGGAGCTTTACACCCATCAATTATTCAGAATGTTTTGTAACCTGCAAACGATTACCCTCTTAACAAACTCACTCTTGTTTCCGCGTAAATTACACCCTCTTAATTAATTACACTTCATTGGTGGTTGCTGGAGAACCATTAATCAAACTTTACATGTATGTAATTGCGTTTTATAGGCACATTACCTGTAACATCATATCGCAGACATGTTAAGTGTCAACTAAAAACCAAACTCAATCAGTCGTGTGCTTTTGCATGCATGGATAATATTTTCTTGGTCCAGTTCAAAATGCTATAAACTTTACAACTTTAAACTTCATGTAGTTAATAATCTGTATACTTATAAGTTTAAAGTTGTTAAGTTTAGACAGACAGACGGACAGCCATCTATCTATCTATCTATCTATCTATCTATCTATCTATCTATCTATCTATCTATCTATCTATCTATCTGTTTCTGTCTATCTGTCTATCTGTTTCTGTCTATCTGTCTGTCTATCTATCTATCTATC